AGCTCATCGCTCCATCGGCTGCGGTATTCGCGAAGAGCACCATAAATCTAACGTCGAATCAACCGCGCAGCACGGGAATAAGGAGCGACTTGTAGAGTTTGGTTTTCGTTCGTCGAGAGAGGACTTTAACATTCAATTGCCTACCCAGTTCAAAGTAGCACCTGTTTTCAAGAGTGATTTTGTATTGGATCTCAAAGCTCATACGCTCCGCTTCCTTATCCAGTCTGGAGAAAAAGAAATTATTAATGGGTCCAATATTGATAATTCGTGAACACGCGGAAATATGCCTATTGGGGCTGTGTGCTTCATGAAACCTTTAATATTAGTGGCATTGCTTGAGGTTTGGCAGTCGATATGAAAAATTCCGCGATAGCGACTTCAGTTGCACTGAGGGTGGGGCGGCAGCAGAGTTTGTGTCATACCGACCATGACAGATTACGTTAGAGAAAAAGCCAACGGATAGTGTCCAGTTCGATTTGATTTTGTAAATTATTTTTTTTTGTTACTGACTGCAATCGGGTCACTCATGCCATTAACCATTACCAAGTGTTAACGAGGTTGAAACTCCAAGAAAAATTGAGCGGCATTTTAAAGACAACTTTGCCCGTCATTGTCGTGTTTCACGTCCAGTGGAATCTTGTTTGCTCCCAGATGAAAGAAGGAAATAAATTTTCAGTCGATACGAGATTATAAAGGCAATTTTGGTTTACAAAAGTTCAAAGGTCTTCATATATGTAGAGAAGATAAAGTTTTGATAAGAAAATTTAATTCCTACTTTTGAGGCTTGGAACCATTGTTAACTTTATAGTAGACTGATATCTTTGCCATAGGTTAGAATAAGTTACGTAGCAGGGGCTGATATCCAAAAGATTCATAAGACACGACCCTTTTTATGCTACCATTCGCATCGCCTGTAAATCACAAATCGTCAAATGCGCTTAGTCTCAATTTCTGCCAACATTGGTTGGTTGGTAAATGTATGCGATCCGACGATTTTCAGTGCCAGTCAGGGAAATGTGGGACAGTTAATAAGAAAGTATCCACGTGATTTCAAGGCCTTTTCCAAATAGCCACCCCAGTGAGGATTTGATAAGACCTTAAGCCTCATTCTATGTGAATGCTTTCAGTATGGCATGGAAAGAAGCTACCTGACCTGACGTGATACATTGTGCCAGAGTGATTCAATTCAAGTGATAGTTAATAATAACGGGTTAGGGGTTCAAAAATTCACCCGCGGTAAGGCATGCCTATCATAAAATACGACGAAAATCCAATAGTTTCCGCGATAGTTGGGTCTTTATACCGGAACGACCCAGATTTTTATCCAGCCAAGGTCTGTCACTCCCGCAACATTCCCCAAAAAGTACTTTGGCGAATATTTTTTGCGGTTACAGTAACAACAATAACAACTTAGATAATAAGTACTACTCCATAATTTTGGTATTACCCATGAATTAACCCAGCAAATCGGTTCCATGGGTAAATGTTATCCTGCTCACAGTTTGCCTCTCGCTCACTAGAAAGCAGAAACCCGCTTTCGTCGGTGTGTAATTTTCAGTAGGATACCAACAAGCCGAACTTTCCACTTCAAACCCATCCGTAATGAAATCAACCATTTCTTTCCTCTAGGGATTTTGTTCACTCCACTTCTCTCGCAGTGGGCTTATGGGGGAGAAGGAGGCAGTCGGGACCCAGCCTCCTAAGGACTGCACACACTCCAGTGGCCATATACTACACACGGCATTAAGAGCTGAGGTTAGAGTGGATTGGATTGCGCCAAAGATGCTTTCAGCCCTAAAATAAACGCGTGAAAGAAACCAATAAAATAAGAAACTAGTTTTAAGAGGCTGGCACGTCAAGATTAAAAATGTTTTAGCAAGTTTCAAACCCGTAATAAGAAAGATAGAAATTTCTTGTTTCCATGGTAAGGAACTCGTTCTTGAAAAAAGAGAAGAAACTTACTCCACGTTGAGTTCAAAGAAAATATTCTCTTCATAATAACTGAAATTGGGCAGGTATTTTTAACTGCCCTGAATGTTGCTTTCTGTGAAAACTTCGAGAGTTTTAAAATTCTGGAGTGAACCATCTCTAGCACCAGGCTTTGAGCATGGTAATAGGTTTTCTAAGATTTCTGAAAATTCTCAGAGAACGGCTAAAGGCTTTAGCTAAAACACTCTAAATCTGGAACCAGTCCTTAAATAAATGTATTTGTAAAAGCAAAAACAAAGAGCATTAGATCTTCCATCCGGTACGGTCTGCGCAGTGCCAGTTCCAGATCAGTTTAAGACACATCTACTTATAGAACAGGGGAACTTAGAATAATTCCCCAACGACTGTCAAATGCTACGTGTTTCTGGTAATTAGTACAAGTGATAATTAGAAAATTTCCGATATTACTGTTATATTATATTTATGACTAAGCGTTGAAGTATTTTCCAACAATCATAAAATGTAACCAACATGAGCGACCAACAACAACTTTGCAATTGTGGTCAAACACTCGTACCGAGTGGGTACCCTATGAGGCGCCCACAATGCTTCTTCTTCACTTTTGCATACATTTATCTGTGTATATTTTCAGCTAATTGAAATGGATAGTCGCTACTCATCAGCGTATGCTTAAACAGACCGCAGCGAAAACACAAAAAAAAAGCTATCATCCGCGCAATTTGCCATAAAACCCAAGCTCCTCGTTGTTGTCGCCAACAACATCACCAACAAGTTACTGTTATGCGCATACAAATATGCAATTTAATAGTTATAGTTGTTGCCGGTGTTGTTGTTTTGGCTGTTGCTGACTAGTTGGTGGACTACAGCGCATGTCCTGCCGAATGGCGCAACACAAAAGGCAGGCCACAGTCCAGAGGCACCAGCAGCAGCTGTAGAATGTATATAGAATAACAGTAACAGCAGCAGCAACAACAACAATACAACAATTTGCTGTAATTCATTGTGAAAGTATGTAGTGTATGTTATTTGTTATTGTTTCACATAGAGCCAGCATTTTTTTAAACCAAGCGCGCTTTTTATATCGAGGTACAATGAATTTGTTCTTTCTACGGCGAACGAAAACCAAACTCTACAAGCGTGGACGATGTCAACATCTGATGAGTCAGCTCTAGGAGTCTGCATGAAAAAAGTTTTGCGAACGAATACCGCAGACGATGGAATGATAAGCCATATGTTGATATTGACATAGTTCAGCTGGCTAGGTCATGTCGCCCGCATGGGATGAAAAAGAATGAAGCAAGGAGGTGGTTAGAATAAGGTGAGGACTCATTACCCATAGAAGGGCATCAGGGTTTGGGGGTATCCATACTGGATAAGTAAATTTAGACTAAAATTACGATGATTTAGCGTGAGGGCTCAAGCTCCAGGCGTGCGATAGATGGTGTTTGGATTACTACTGCGCCATTGGTAGGAATGCCTCGAAAAATATCTAGAACTCTCACATTTTAGTGCGATCTTTGTCAATTGCGTTTCAGCCCTACTTGTAGCTGGTCTAAGTTTATTATTCTCACCTATTGTCTTTGCATAAAGAGAGGTAAGCCCGTCGTTCCTCCTACCTTGTCGCTGCCTTTTACGTGGCGGTTCCTAAACCCAGAGCAGAAAGTCACGGCGTGAAGTAAGGCACTTTATTCCAAAACTGACCCTCGTTCGCTGCCGCAGCTTTGGTGAACAGTCATCTTTAGGGGGCTCTTAAAACGGAGTTGTTCCAAGGCAGGTATTCTCTCCTTTAGAGAGTCGTGAACGATGACAAGACGAAATATCTGCTGGCAAGAAACAGAGGGCCAACACACTCGCCTCTTGACTCCCACATCACTGTTAGCAGCCATATCGTTGAAATTGTATGCGAAATCCACGGTAGAACCACTTTTGTCAACAGGTTCTATGTGGAGCTGAGTAGAAAATTCAAAAGTAAACTTCACCCTCGAAGAAAGGCTAAGTCCTAGCAGTCGCTCATCATTCCGGTTATACTATGCAAGTGAAAAAGAAGCGACGTAGATTAAATCCGATGATTCGACTTTAGGATCTTTTGAGCGAAGGGTTTTGTGGAAGATTTAAGGTTCTCTACGCATGGACGGTGGCGAATACCGCAGGAACTGATAGAATGACAGCGAATGCCCTTCGGATGGGTGTAAAACCTTCAGTTTGGCAAATATTCAATTTACAATAGTAACCGTTAGGTGGTTGGCCTCTATTTGTTTGGAAATATCCGTAAGTGAATGCTGATGAAACTCATAATAAAAGAATTGGAATATTTAAGGAGGATCTTGTAAGATCAAAAAGTAAATCTCTATCTAAAGACATATCGTAAGGTATAGCTTTCCTTCCTTGTGGTTTAGACCAGCATTCGCTTCTTTCTCCTGGCACTTTGTGCTGCTAGAAAGATTCTTTGACTTGTTTCTACAGTGTATTAATAAATGTTGCTGCTGCTGCGCACTGGCTAATGCTCGGTTGCTGTTAAACCGCAAGCTACTGCTTCTTCTTCTTCTTCTTCTATAGCTATTTCTACGCTTCTTCTTCTTGTTTCTTTTATTCTAATTTCTAGTTTATTGTTGGTACTTTATGATTGCGTTATACGAACATGACATGTTAACACACATACATACACACACACAGTTTCTCACACATCAACATGAATGAAAAACATCATTTATGGCGAAAGCGAAATCAATTTCACAAACGAAAGTGTTGTCTTTTGTGGGCCAACGTCGCCATGCTGCACGTCCATGTCCTTTCAGTCGTGCCACCGCCTCGTGTCACTAACACAGCAACCTCCTCGTGGCTTCTTTTTGTTGTCACTGTTGTGTTACCACGAACAAACAAGAAAAAAAGGAGAAAATAAAAACAACAAAAAGTCACTGTCGCCACTGTTGCGGTTGTTACTGCTGTTTTTGTTTTTGTTGTCGCTGTAACATGACTGGCTGGTTGGCTGTGTCTCGTCGCCTATAAATACAAATGTTCTGGCCAGGATATGGCTTAAAGCGTCACAGTTATCCTAGCCGTAATAGTCAACGCCGCGTGCAAATACCGAAAACGTTTGAGAAAGTTCTTTCATTAAGAAAAAAGTGGAAATAAATTTGAAAAGGAAATAGAAATTAATAATCTCAATAAGGACATTTAATTTGTGCAAGTGCAAGCAGTTAAAGAACTATTTTACAACAGTAATTGCCTGTTTTGAGTGTGAGAGCATTTTTAACGGTTGCGAGTTTAAAATTTTCACGCTAAAAGTGATTAAATTCGATTAAAGTAAGTGCAGTTGGTGTGTTTAAATCTGATTTAATTAAAATATTAATATTGGAAAAGTGTTTTTGTAAAAGAAAATATTTATTTATAAAATTTATTTATTAATTCTTACTTTCGAGTGCTCAAAACTTGATGCAAAAAGGGAAAAAGAAATGTTGAAGGCAATGTTAAGGCATGAAATAAATAAAAAAAAACATTCAAATCTTTTTCGAAATATCAATTCTTCAGAAATTATTTTTTGTGCTAAGAAATAAAATTTTGTAATAAAGTTCCTTTAAAATTATAAATCGACTTGATTTGATTTTTGGACTATTTGAGTCAGAAATAAATTTCTAGAACAAATAGTTTTATTTGCCGCTTATCGCAGATTTCATTGTGTCCAAAGAAGGATACGACATATATGAATATGAAAATAAATCTTCAAAAATTTCTGCACGCAAAATTCATACTTTCGACAAAATACTGGGATATCTAAGGCTGATTAAGATTATATAAAAATTATCTAATAATCTCGCTGTGAAAAATTTAGAAAAAAAACATCTAATTTTAAATGATTAATATTACATATTATTCCCCATGGTTTACTCACCTACCACTCATCCACACGAGGCCTTTTTTATTGGTACGAGCTACGACAAGCACAGGAGTTTGGTGTCAACACCTCAAAAAGTGATTTCTTAGTATAGTTTTAAGAAAAAAATATCTATTATAAAACTCTCAAAAAATATTTTTCAAAATTTCAGTGGTCAATTCGACATGTTTTCGAAGCTAGAGCAATTTCAGTGGACAAGTGTCGAGCAGGTTCGAATGCTCGAGCGGAACTTTAAAGCCTGTTTTCTCGAGTTTTCATTTTTACTAGCCTGGGAGAAAAACGAAGTCGGAAAAAGTTGGACAATGGTATTACTTTTTTTCCGCTGAAGTGGTTTTTTTTCAAACTTCGAAAAAATTTAGAATTTTTCAACTTCTTTGGTATTTCGGGTTCGACAGTTTCAGATGCATTGCACAACTTGCATCACCGGCACCGTTTCACGAGCTCAGACTAAAGCCGCTTCAGAAAACCGATCACAACATTAAAAATTCCAATATTTTTCGATACTAAAAATTGTTTTTTGAAGTTTAAATATAGTATATGGTTGTCTATAAATTTCGTTCACTGCAAAACTTTTCTTCCTTTTTAAAAAAAAATCTGAAAAACGTTTATTATTTCATGTCCCAAAAGCCTGCCTTAATGGAGCAACGACAAAATTGTTTTCCTAATACGAAAGAGAGAGTCAGTTGCGCTAGAATGAGAGTTGAAATCAAGACACAAACAATACAAAAAGCTCGTGAAATTTGAAAATCTTTTCACAAGTTTTTAGAAAGAAGGCAAAAAAAATATTGAATTGGTTTCAGACAGAATGTGGTCTACGACTAGGAAGAGTGGCGAGGTAAATGAGCTGCAGAGAGACTGGAACAGAGAGACAGATTGTATTGAAAGTTTCAATGCCAAATTTTTTCAAGAAGAAAATGAAAAACTGCTTTGGCATGGATTCTTTTCAATCAAAGTAGATTTGAAATCCCAGACCGCGTTAGCTGAGTTGTTAGCATTGCGTAATGTTATTCGGAAGGCTCGGGCTCAAATCCCCGTGCGACCAACATCCAAAAGTTACACAAAATTAATTTGAAATAAAAAATTAAGTTAAACTGTCTAATTACGGTCGCCACTCGGCAGGGAATGTCAACACCTCCGAGTGTATTTCTGAAATAAAACAAAGGCTGCTCATAACAAAAAACATCAGCCGTTTGGAGGCGGCTTAGTATAAACTGTATATCCTTCTATTTATATATATATATATATTTTTTTCAGAATAGGTTTTACTACAATTGTGAATATAGTTTTAGTGGCATGAGGATCCTTGAATGACTTTGACCACCTTTTTGCAAATGCCCATATCTCATGGGCATTGTTAACTGCCACACAAATATGAGGCGAGAAGTTCACTTTCTGTCTGTATGCTTTTCGAGAGAAGGTTTTAAAGAGATAGTGGCATAAAATTTATTTTACACCATTCAACCATGCTGATGATATTAATTTTGCATCATGCATATGCGGGGAGAAAAATTAGTCTTCGTGTTAAGCTAAGCCTTAGGTCCCCATTTACCAAATTTAATGGACATCGAGCCATAAATAAGATTTTTTCATATTGACCAGACATTGATATGCTTTACGGAATCTCTTGGTTATTTCTTTTGTGTGACCGGACATCAATCTGAGTTGAGGCAAATCATCGAAATCGTTGGAGACGATTTTGAAACAAACTTTGAAATCGGATTATACATGGCAGAAATGCCACTTGATTGCTAGAAAGAAAGAAGTGAATTTTGCAATGGATTGTGATTGGTGATGAAAAATGAGTCTACCTCAAAACAACCCTAAGCGCAGAAAGCGAAATGTTAAGCCTGGTCAAGCAGCTAAATCAACAGCCTAGTCGAAAGTATTGTATATTGGTTTTGGGCTTCTAAAACCGCAATAAACCATTAATGGGTAACGCTGCCCCCAGCAACTCACCACGTGCGTGATGTGCGTGAACGCCGAAATGTACAGACACGAGACAATGTTGTAATTAAAAATCTTTTGGTCAACACCGGCTTACCGCCTGCCAGCCCAGACATAGACTCATCAGACTACCATTTGTGATTGTACATATATGGTTATTAAAGCTTTTTAGTATTGGTGGTAGAAAGTCCATGCTCGATTATTTCAATGGAACATGAAGGACATTCGTACCATTTAGTGAACGCGTAGAGGCTTCGAACATAATAATTTTGAATTTCTCCGAAGTAGTTTTTGAGTAATGAATTTAATATTAATTCCACAAGCTACTGAATTTTGTCCCCCATATATAATATATGATACTATCAGACTTACCACACGTCGCTGTGGCTTTCTGTATTTTGTGAACCTTTTTATTCGTATTGAGGTGAACCTTAAAAAACCTAAATGGCTCTCTTCTTACTCGAAATATTAAAAAATTAATTTTGCTAATTATTTTTATGTGTGGGTCACTTATTCGCTGCTCAAAGTCTTTCACGGTATTTTCAATATGAAAGCTTCGAAGTAAGCTAAATGCCCCATTCGGAACTGTGCCTATTCACACTCAAGTTCAGCGTACATATAAGATTAGCTTGTAACCCGCAGCTGCCGAACAATAAAATTGAATAGCGAATTTACATCCACACGTTCTATGCTTACATCCAAATCATATTGATTTTTGTCAATTTGCCGGTTACTCCTTTCCCATAAACAAAGTATTATAAAATTGTACTTGGTTCCAATTGAGCATTCGAGGGGATTAACAAAAGTTCGGTGAGTTGACGAGACAAAAAAAAATTCTTTTTGTATTTATTCGTATTTTTTGTCCTTTTTATTTTCTTTACATAATCGCCATTGATTTCAATGCATTTCTTAAGCCAATAGATCCACTTCTGAAAACAGTCTTCAAAAGCTTGCCTTTTAAGCTTTTCAAGTTCAGCATTAACTGCATTAATTAACTTCTCGTTGCTATTGAATACCTTTCTTTTTAACTTTTTTTTTGATATTTGGAAATAATGAGAACTCACAAGGTGATATATGCGGGTTATAGGTTGCTGGATGTATTTCTTCGATTCCAGAGATTGCAATAAAATTTCTCGTTACTTCAGCAGTGTTGGATGGCGCGTTGTCATGAGGAATAATGTGGCGCCTAAATTCCTCATTTTTCTTGTTTTCCAAAAAAGTTTTGAAAATAGTTGGTAAGCACTCTTCAGTGCACCATTTTGCAGTTACCGTCTGACCCTTTTTCAGTGGAATCGCTGCTACGTTTTAGATCGGTTAAAATGAACTGACATCGTTACCTTTGCTGCTGATTTTTGTTGCTTAGATTTTACAGGCAGATTTGTTCCTGTTGGGCTCCACACCATAGACTGCTGTTTGATTTCTGGAACGTACTTATAGAACCAAGATTCGTCACTACTAGCGACTGCACTAAAGTTGATAGACTAACCATTTTTGAATTAGTTTAGGCAACATTGAGAAAAATGTACTGGAGCCTCTTTTTGATTCAGATTTCTTCGTGTATCCCAGATGTTTACTTAATATTCGCTATACAGCCCAATTCATTAGCAATAAATTCTTGTGTCAATTGAGGGTGTTCGACAATTTCGAACTTCACCTGAGCCACTGTGACGTCATCAGTAGAAGATTTTGGTCGACCTTTTCTGGGATCGTGATCTACGGAAAATAGTCCGCTCTGAAATCTTTGGAACCACTTAGAAATAATCTTTAAAGACGCTGCAATCGTTTCATATGCAATTGGGCATTCGCTGAATATTTATATTGGCTGTAAATTACGTCGAAACCCGAAGAGTATCAGTGGTGAATTTCTGTTCGTTTTGGTGGTGGAATTTCGTCTGACCTATTCTCAGCTAAAATTTGAAAATAAGACCAATAAAGAAATTGCAAAGGATTTGGAACTTTCACAATAAATTTAACAAAAGAAATTGAAAGTCAGCAACTGAACGAACTTTTGTTAATCCGATCATTCAAAAATTCAACTAAAATGAACCATGAATGTAATATGTACGATTATATTTTTTCAATAAGAAAAAAAATTTCAGTTTCAGTTTCGATGCGTTTAAAAATTTCCAGGAAACAAAGAAACAAACGGAACAATTTTTTGTATAATCTGCCGGGCAGATTACTGGAAAGAAACGTACAAAACAATCGTTAATGCGATTCTGAACCGAGCTCGTCTTCTTATTTGCGGTGCGCGTCTTGATGTTTTTCCAACAATTGAAGGCACCTACAGTTTATACTAAGCCGTCGGTTATTGATTGGAGCGTGATGGAAGGATATAAAGTAAATTTCGAAAGATTTTTGAAAAACGTTGGCCCTAATAATGATGTATAGAGTAACTTCAGTTAGACTAAATGAAATCACTACCCGACTCTTCACTTTGTCACGTGTTGTATCAACACTTTCCCAA